CCCCAAAACCCCAAAACCCCAAAACCCCAAAACCCCAAAACCCCATTTTAGCAGAATTATAAATAACTTTTGTATTCTGTATATAAAAATTTGTAAGAAAAATAAGCAAGATGGATAAGCCATTGAAGTTCAAAGTTGTCATGGGCAGTGGCCCTTCCCAGACTATTAAGAGACTGTCTAAAACACCAGAGGATTATAGCGAACTGGTACAGATGGTGCTGAAGAGGCTGAGTGATAGGTTATTTGTCGACCACCCTTTTTATATTTACTACGAAGACATCTCTAATGGTATGATTAAGATCGAAGATGATGTTGACCTCAGAGGAGCTGTGGAATACTGTGAGCTGTACTCAAAGTCTTCTCTTAAGTTGTTTGGTAAGTTTCATAGCAAAATTTAGACATTAATTTGGTATAGTGCATCTGGAGCCTCTTGATATTAGCAGAGTTAGAACTGACTACAAGGAAATAGACCCTGATAAATTGGATGAAGATGAGGGTGATGATAATGAAGACAGTATTGATTCGGAAGATAGTATTGATTTTGAAGATGATCAAGAGCAGGTAGAAGAAAATATTGAAAATCCTAACAAGAAAATTGCACAACAAGAGGTATATAACCCAGAACAGCCAGGTGAAGAATTACCAATACAACCAGATCCAAAGCCTCATGAATGTCTTAAAGAAATGGAGCCAGGTGCTCAATTTCTCCAAAATAATCATGATGATGAAGATCCATTTGCTATGCTGATTAAAGATGGAAAAAGCAATGATGGCTCCCAAAAAGATTCAAATGATGGTGAAGATTCAGATGAGGTAGATTATGAGAATCATAATCCCTCATTCCTACAAATTCCTGATGATAATGAGGAAGATTCTAACTCTTCCGAGGATGAGCCAGTGAATAAAGATGCTGAAGAAAAAGAGAGAATTTCATCAGAACACAACTCAGAGATTCCACAGGAAAAATTTGAGTCTGACGAAGCAGGAATAAAACATTTTCCAAGTGAGAGCAATTACCTCGATGAACTACACCAGAATCTTCTAGAGCAAGAGAGGAAGGAGAAAGAGTTTGAAAAAGACAATAACGAAAAGGGCCAACAACTTGAGAGAAAGGTTATTGATCTTGGGGAGGAACCACATGCATTCATCCCTCTGCAGGACGGACAAGAGGCTAACCCTAGTGACTCTGAGTTTAAACCATTGAAATTCCAAACTGACCAAAATGTAATCTGAGTGAATAACCAACAATTCAAAAATAATGAGATCAACCGTGTTGAAGAAAGTATCGACAGGATCTCTTCTCTGATCTTCGAGGAGGAGAAGAAAAAGGAGATTTTGCCTTCACCTAAAAACAAGAAGGGGAGTAAATACAACAATGTTTACGAAGATGTATTTGCCAAAAAGATAAAACAATCAGCCGCTGATGAGCTCCCAAAACTTTCTTCAATGAAGTCTTTTGGATCTTTCCTTAGAAGTTCCATAATAGGAATGAATGAGGTTGAAGCAGATCAGCTTATGAGAGTTGATGAACAACATCCCGAATTCAGTAATGAAGATATTATTGTAGCAAAACCAGGCAGTGTATTGAGGAAGTGCTGGAGGATCAAAAATATAGGATCAAAGCAATGGCCCAAAGATACTAGACTTGTCTCAGTGACAGATGGCCTCTTTTTTATTGGACCTTCGATTAAGGAGTTCCTCAAGCCAGGGGAGATGATGGATCTCGGGATCAACATCTATATTGCTCCTGAAGAGAATGGAGAGAATAATATCAAACAATATATTGTAAGACTCTATTGAGACCAATTCAAGTGATTTGGACAACCAATGATTGCTACATGCCATATTGATCACATTCTTTACGATGAATCTATCCTAAATCAAAATGAAGAAGACTTCTCATCCAATAGAGTAGTCGCTGGAGGAAATTTGGTCGAGAATTATGAAATCGCTAAAGAATTATGCATCAAAAGTGGGGAGCCTTTTTATAAGACAGTAAGCAACCTAAAAAAAGGAGATATTTACAAATAGTTTAATTATTAATCACTAGCAACTTTCAAAAATACCCTAGATTGAGGGGTTTTGGGGTTTTGGGGTTTTGGGGTTTTGGGGTTTTGGGGTTTTGGGG